AAATTTCAAAAGCAGGCAAATTTCAAATTTCAAAACCAGGCAAGAAAACAAACAAAAATTGCTTATGCGCAACCAGCCTTCAACTTGTTAAATAGGAACACGAAAGTGGAACCAGAGTGTTACGTATTGCGACCCTAACAACTAATAATCCAATGACATTGCATCTTTTTAATGGCGTCGATCACCGCAAACGTCACATTTGTGCCTTGATCCGTTAAGTGAAAGCTGAGCTGTTTAGTCCGAGGTAGTTAAAGAGATTATAAAAATCAAAGCACATCAGCTTCCCCCCCGGTCCTTAAAGCAATATTTCAAGAAGTTCTCGAATCGGCAGGAGTGGGTTCTGGGGAGAAGGAAAGGGAGGTTTACTTGCACACCATTCCACATTCCCTCCCTGAATACAAAGCAGACAAAAGGCAACATCAAGAAAATACTAAATTTGGCGATTTTCTAACTGTAGTCGAGTCTGGTGTGATATTTCAAGTAATTGGAGTAAGCTCTTGAACAGAGGTCAACTATATTCGCATGCCTTCTTATAGAATTGTCTGCTCAAATTTTTTTTTTTTTAACCGCATTGAAACAATTCTTGAAGCAAACAAGGAGAAAGTTATAAATTGAGAGTCTTTTACCGGAGGAAAAACTTTCAAACGAACATTTCAGTATAAAGTTCACAATCTTCAGCAACAACACGCAACTTATAATTTCTTGATCAAAATACACCGCCAGCTAACAGCATATAAGGTTACAAAATTAAGGGAAAATGTTCATGGACAACGGCGAATTCGATAAGATCTCTGATCGACTGCGGAGTTGTTTTTGTCAGTTTGTTTCCACGGTGTCCTCGTAGACAACATAAATTCGCAAAACTTCCCCAACATCAAAACATACGCAATGACTAAATCGACAAGAAAGTTCGTGATCCTTTATCAATCTTAAGATCAAAGACTAGTACTGTATTTCTTGCTGTTGTCCAAAAGCAGTTAAATGTTTTGTATCAGTTTCAAAATTAGCAAGTCCTGGCCCGCTACAGAAACAACTGAATTACACTATAACACAATGTACTTACCAGCGTCGCTAATTTCAGTCCCTTGAGGAACAACTAAGGCTGATAAATGTTATCGTTTGTCTTTCGATCTTTTCACTGCAGCTGTGGATCGTGATGATCAGGCTCGCACGAACAAGGCTTGCAATCAAAACGTCCCGATCTGTACATTGAAGATAAAACAAAGTGCAATAACCGATTATACTTTATTCCATATTCTACCGTTGTCCAGAAAAAATGGATAATTCTCACACCAAGAATTCTGCTGCTTTAAAGAAATGGTATTGGGGTTAATCTGCTTTTTGCTTTTTTCAGCATTATTGTCTAACAAAACAAAGAAGTTCTTTCGTTCATTTGACACACGCAGCATATCAATGATCATATCATTAACTGCATCAACTAACGTCATTTTTGACATTTTCACTAATCTAGGGTGACGATAGAAGAAATCGCTGTGCAATTTCACCTTTTTTTTGCTGAAACTGTTTTATTAAGCTCCTTCTCCTTCAGCGTGTGTCGTATCAATGTAAGTTTTCTAGAATGTATGCTTGTTTATTTTTATGGACGACGGTGAATCCGAAAATATCTCCAATCGACTGCATAGTTGTTTCTATGGTATTCTCTAAGACAACATACAATCGCAAAATCGTCCTCAACATCAAAACATACGTAACGACTAAATCGACAAGAAATGATATTAAAAGATCCTCGCAGCTAAGAACTCTACTGAAACGAGTAGTTGAAAATAGAACCTGAAAAAAATTCAGGCCCGTACGGGATTTGAATCCTTTATCAATCTCAAAAATCGAAGACTAGTACTGTATTTCTCGCTAGAAAGCTCCCCTATTCAGCGAAAGTGGGGTGAAGGGGGAAGGGGGAAATTTACATACACACCATTCTAGCATCCTAACTCAAGAAAAAAGGCAGATGAAGAAGCAATCTTCAGATACCCGTGCCTGACATGATTACTACAACAATCGAACTTAAATTATGTTCAAGAATGTTCTGATCAAATTCCTTATATCGATTGTTTTGCTGACAACTGTTGAATTCCCTTTGGTTTCATCATTGGTTCATTTTTTGCCTGCGGAAAAATGACACTAGAATGTGCCTTGAACCGTTAATCTTAATCATTTCACTCTAGATAACACCCTGGTTGCACTTTCGTGTTTGAAAGGTTTAATCACGAAAGTACTCTTCGAAAGTGTTCTTCGAGATCGAAGATTAGTACTTTATTTCTTGATGTTGCCCAAAAGCAGGTGGATGTTTTGTTTCATTTTTAAAATTAGCAAGTCCT